CCAGACTGCGGCTTAGGCCCTATCCCCAAGGGGAGCAGGGAGCGGGCCTAAGCCATCACTAGGACATCCCCTGAGGGCTCCCAGTATGTGAGAGGGGGCAGGCTGGGCTGAGGAGCACCCCCCCCAACAGTGCACGAATTTCGTGCACCGGGCCCCTAGTTAATAATAAATGATTATAAGGCAAAAATAAATAAATAAAAATCACTGTCCTAGAGAGTTGGAGCTGAAACTTCAGAAAGGAGTGGGACTTGATCAATCTTCTAGCTGGTCTGCGTGTGCCAGCCTTGATCTGAGCAAACGTGAATTTGTTTGCAAGCAGACATGTCAGTTTCTGTGCCCCAGGGGTCGAGGAAAAGGAGATGCAGGAGAATACTAATGTATCTGTGCACAGACTCAACCTGTAACTGAGTTATTGGCTTGTTGGGATCACTGGCTCTCTAACCTCTCCCTGCACCATCCAATTCTGGGGTTCAGTCAGCCATAGACAGCTCTTCTCCCTCATGTGACAATGTATTCTGTCCACCATAAAAACTACACTCATTTTGAAAGTCCTTCCTTTCTGGGTCTGCAGTTTTCTATCATCACTCAGGAAATCTGTTTTTCCTACAGGGGTGGGGAATGGGGGGGGGGGGGGGGGGGGGGGGGGGGGGGCAGAGGCTGGTGAAATCATTTGGTCTGTCCCTGCCAAGGCATTAGGGATAAGTTCATTAAATGTTTGACCAAATATAGCAGGCTAATTTTAAGTTGCTAATTTTGTATGGCCCCGAGTCATGTTATAAATATCCAATGGCCCTTGGCACAAAAAAGGTTCCCTACCCCTGGTAGCGCCTGGGAGTATGCAGGCAGGAGGGCAATCACACACTCAGGGTTGCAAGCTGGAATTCAGGTCCACCTCTGAGTGTCTGGGTTACCTTACACAAGTTTCTTAATTTCCTCTGTAGATTGGAAAAAACATTTTTTTTTTCTGCTCCTGGGGCTCCTGGATTAATGACATAATGTAGACTACCTAGGCCAGAGGCTGGCTCACTGTATGAACTCAAATGCCAGGGGTTGCCTGTTGGCTTAACAGCGCAGTGGAAAACGGTTTCTGGAGGAACTCTGGGTCAAAAAGCCAGAATAATTCGCAGAATTGAGATAACCTCCCACCTCCCCGTGACCTCACTGCATTTCAATTCGCATTCATTGCCAGGTCCCCGTCTTCTCAGACCTCTAAAATCTCTTGTCCCCTACCGCCGACCCCCGACCTGGGCAGCAAAAAGAAAGAGGAGTTCAGCATCTAAATGAAAATGACCCCCTGCACAGGCGCTCACACCCCTCCCAGTACCGGGATTGCGGGCAGAGAGCAGCCAAGCAGACAGGGCCAGCCAGGATCGCCGCGTAGGAAGTCTCAGAGCTGAACTGACACCCGAAAGAGGAGGAGAGAGCAGCCGGGGGAGGAGGGGAGAGAGCGGCCGAGAGGAGGGCGCTGGGGAGGGTGGAGACACATGCGCGCTGCCTGCCACCGCCGCCGCCGCCGCTGCAGTCCTTAGCTTCCCCAGGACAGGAAACCTTCGAGACCGAGCTGCCACTGCCGCCTCTTCCTCAGCCCTTGGTTCTGCGCTTGCCACTCCGTCCTCCCCTTCTCCCAGCATCTCTCGGTGGAGCGCTGCAGGAACTCGGCACCTGGTGCCGGCTCCCCTTCCCGGGGTAAAGCTGTGACGCCCCCCGCTGCAGCGGCGGAGCTGGGTGGGGGTGGGGGCCCGGGAGAAGATGGCGACGCCGGGAAGCGAACCCCAATCTTTCGTCCCTGCCCTCTCGGTGTCTACTCTGCACCCACATCATCATCCCCACCATCACCACCACCATCAGCACCACGGAGGAACCGGAGCCAACGGCGGGGTTGCGGGAGGCAGCGGCGGCAGCAGCGGGGGCTTCAACCTACCCTTGAACCGGGGGCTGGAACGCGCACTGGAGGAAGCCGCCAACTCTGGGGGGTTGAACCTCAGCGCTAGGAAACTGAAGGAATTTCCCAGGACCGCGGCCCCCGGGCACGACCTCTCGGACACGGTGCAGGCAGGTGAGAGAGGGGCAGTCAGTGGGTGTAAGTGCTGCCTGGCTGTCATGCCTTCCCCGACACAGCGGCCAGTGTGAGATGTCGCCTCGCTGGGGGTCCATCGGCCG